ATTTATAAAAAGTGGTTCTGTAGTATTGAAAAAAATAAAAAGATTTTATATTATAATAAATATTTTAATTGAAAAAAATTGGTGGCAAAAGTACTTTAAATAAATATTCATAATAAAGAAGAAGTCAAAATAGAGACCACTGGAAATTAAATATCTGTAGTAATAACTTGAGATATTCACTTTTAAACCCTTATTCATGGCAGAAACTTTAAATGGAAAAATAAAGTAATTACCTCTCCACAACATGCTATTAGAAGAGAGAAGTGTCATCTCTTTTAAAACTCCTCTGGACCCCCCAATTTTTGACCCCCAAAGGAGAAGCATAGAGTGTACTAATTATTAATTACTTTTGAGAAGTATTGTATCAGACATTTGTAAAGTACATTGTAGCTTTTCAAAACACATATACATTTGGTCCTTCCATGATTTCAGTTTATTGCAATCGGTTGTATAAAGCTCTACTTAGTTAATTCTTCAAATCACCTTTATCATTAGGCCTAGATATTTGTAGTAAAGCCTTAGTATTTTTTTCTTTAGCTTTTCACATAGCTTTCTTTCAATCAAGACAATGTTAAAAAAAAACAAACAAACACCAGTAATGTTGACATTGCCTATGTGTTTAGTTAATATGCCCATGGTTCAAAAAGATTCATATTACCTCATTGGGGGTGCTTCCCCTAGAGCTGTTGAAACCTGACCCTGAAGTGTTTCCAAAATATTGTCATCTGAGTACAACTGCATAGGTGTATTAAACTGAGCATGTACAATCTTCACACCAGGAAGTTCCATTTCCAAAGGAATGTTAGGGGCCATCTTAGCAGCAACTTTCAAGTCACCTGGGCAAATAGTACTAACAGTACTGACAGAAGAAGGGGTGCTACGTCCACTGCTACCGTCAATACCGGACGGAGTACTGCATCCACTGTGTTAATGACCACGTTACACAGAGATGACACAGGAACCAGCAAAACCAGACAAGAGAACACAGAGAACAAGTATAGAGAAGTTAAGAGGAATTGAAGACCAAAAGTAAGAGGTGAATTAAATAAAATTAAAACGAAATGTTTGTTTCTGGCTATGATGTATTTTTAAAAAGGGAAAAACGTTTAAAAATTCATGACTGAAAAAAGTTTAACAAAATTAAAAGGTACAGGTGATGTTGCATTTTTTGGGCTCTGTTCTACTAGGCCAGGTGTAAGTTGATGATGACACATGAACAAGTTGTATAAAAAGCAGAAATGATGCTACTCTATTCACTTTGTAAAAATAGGCCAAATAATTTTAAACAAATCATTTTAACAAAGTCACAGACAAATAATACAGGGAAATTACATTAGATGGGCATGCCTTTACATTTCTGAGGCACAATATTTAAAATTAAAATATTTATGAATGATCCTTCACAAATAGTAACTGAATATGCCGCATGAAGATTCAATCACATATTTAGGCCAAACGTTTCAAAATAAATATATTTCAGAAATGCAGTTGAGCTTTAATTGAATCGTAATTGGCAACTTGTAGGTTATGTGATAAAGATTATGTTTTAAGGCGATTTTGTAAACATTTTACTGTTTTAACTCTTTCTAGTTTCATTCTTTAATTTTGTGGAGAATCCACTTTAAAAAATGGTTCAGTGATTCAATTTAGGCTCTAGAACAGCCAACAAATGCTTGTCACCTTGAAATGAATGATTAGAGAGCAAATAAGATGATCTTGGTCTCTTTGGATGCTACCTAGGGCTAAGATATATTTCTTTTCTATATAGCTATTTCATGTAAAATTTTGAAATCACACATATTTTCATGCATATTTATCATTTTACAGACAAATTGAGGGGACTTCTTATTAAAACATCAGAGAGGCCAGTCATGCAATATTAGAGCAACTAGGGAGAGCTCATATTCTTTCTGAAGCTAGATAGGAGGCTGGTCCGAACTGACATGCCGAGGACTAAAAAGTCATTTTTCTACGTGCATTTAAGTGCAGCATGAGAAATGCATTTAATGAGAAAATGAAATACGCTGAGATTCTTTTTCAAAGCACAGTCATGTAAGACAAAGCCACAAGAAATGTTAGTATTAATGTAAACTTCTGTCATGCCTGCAGGTTAGTGTTGCTGTAAACTCAAGTCAGAGAAAAAAACTATATGGTGTGTTCATATCAAAGTTCGTGTTCTCTCAGGACTCAAGTATGGCTCATATCTGCATTTAATCTCTAGGGTTACTAATGCCAACCTCAGCCCCATACGGAAAGCACAGGTCAAAAGGATTTGGGGCATTGATTTTGTTGACTTCATCAATGTTGCAACCTGATGAGTCTGGACAACTCATGTTACTAAATGAATAAAATTTTTTTTTTTGTCTTGTGTTATCCAATTTAATCACCTGCGCAGCATAAATTAGGCAGGTAAATATAGACTTGTTCCTTCACTCCCCTGGCTGTTGAGAACCTGTTTGAAACAGTCTTTGAACATCAGGTGGCTTATTCACCATGTTCACAGGCTCAGCACCACATTGGCTCCTGAGATTGACTTCAGTTGGTAAAAGAATAGAAGTAAAATTTCAGCTGTAGCAGTTAGTCGGGATAATAACTGATCTGATCTAAGTATAATAAAGTTTATTAAATTGTAACTTAGGGATTTTGGAGATTTAGGCTGAGAATAGTGAACCTTTTCAACAAGCATTTGTAACTCCTACTCTGACCTTACTGTGTGTAGGAATAGTGCCAGAGAGTGGACAGAGAAACTAGGATCAATTCGGAACTTAGAGACACGCCTTATTTTACAGTTGTAATTAGTAACCTTTTCTGTTAGTGTTTTTGTACACATGCATGTTTGTGTATATATCTTTATTTAAGCAAAGATTGTGCCTGTATTCCCTTGTTTCTTTATAATTCTATTGAGGGGACCCAAGCCTATTGAATAGATAGGAAGTAAACTATAAGCAACAAGAGTACTTAATAATTTTAATACATTTCTGGGACAATTTGAAAGATCTCTTGAACCGATGCTTTAAATCAAATAATTTTCATAGACTCCAGTCACTGTAACTATCATCATGGGTCACCATGATCTATTCCTGTGACTTGGAAAGGTAGGTGCTAATGACATTTTTTGACATTGACTTAGTGACTTGGCAAGACCACCTGTAAGGTTGATGACACACTAATTACTTCGCTCCTGGTTAGATCATTAGAGACAGAAGTTAATTTCCCTGGTGTGTGTACAGACTTTTAGGGACATGGTTCTGGAAGCAACTTGGCCAAAACCACTCACAGGATTGTATTTTATCATTTGGTACTATAAAAATGCCATGTTCATATTTTTAATGATAGCTTAGGCTTTAAAATTTTACATGTTTGCGTATAAAAATACTGGCCTTTTAGTATGCTTGATTTATAATGAAATGTTTAAAAGAACCATAACTAGTAGTAAAGACCCTAGAGAGGTTAACATATTAACAAGTTAGCATCTCCAACTTACTTCTAATTAAAAAGTTGGTCATTAATAGTGAAGCTATAGCGCGGTAGGTAGCCACTCAAAATTCCACCTTGATGAAGAATCATTCGATGAGAACAAAAAATTCAGAAGCTAGAGCAGGTAGTGAGGGGGCACAGAAAGAAAGGGAAGATAGTAGAGGCATTTTTACAATTCTTTAAGATTTGGGTCCTGGTACCTGTTTTTAAGCAACTCTCTCATTCCTCTTTCTCCTCTCCCCTCTTCTAAATTCAGCTATATTGAAAAGCACCTTGCAATGGCAAATAATGAGTAGCTCGTTGTTATCACCAGATTTGAATTAAAGTAAAAATATAACAAAAAAGGCATTACATACCTGAATGTCTCTGACTTGCCCTGGGCTTTTATAAAATTAAATGTTATTGGTCTTTAGCAAAGGCAAGATATGTGTTATTCTAATGTATCTTTTTATTCAAGCCTCCTTGAGTCCTATAGTTAGTGAACTTAAGTTATGCTAACTTCAAAAGAATGCAAGTGTATTAGGTAACTGTGCTTCTTTAGGAAGATATATATACACAGAAGGTGCCTCCCCAAAATATATACACAAAAAAACTGTTTTAAAATTGCAATACTCAATATATACTGATAACAAAAGATGAATACAAGTCACGTTTGACTTCTGCAACTACAAGAGGTGCTCAAAGTGGTTACCATCAGCATAATTTTAATACAGTTTTTTCCTTTCTTAAAATGTGTGTACATTTTTGGCACCCTCTGTGTGTGTGTGTGTGTGTGTGTGTGTGTGTGTGTATGTATTCAAAAGTAACATAGCTTTTTAACTTTTATTCTCATGTTGTTCTGTTATTGGGAGTGAAGTTGGGAAGCTATTGAATATAGAGAAATAGGGAAAAGGTGCAGAGGAAAACGGATTAGGATCAAGGGAACAAAGAGAAGTAAAAATGGATTGTGCCAAGTTGCAAGTGTGAGGGAGGGATAATAGCTACTGGTTCTTCTTGCTACTCAGGAAATATTATTAGGTACTCTTCGAATTTTGTTCCTTTATCTAACAAACATTTATTGAGTATTTACTCTGTTCCAGCTGCATGTAGGTGTGGGAGATACAGTGATTGCTTCCATTCTAGTGAGGGAAGATGTATTTTGTAGTAATTACTTTTTTGGCATCTTTCTCCTACTCTTTCACTCCATTGCTTCTTTCTGAGTCTGGTATCACAAAATTGTCTGGCTTATTTTGAGGTAATCCTCTGGTCCCAACTCTAGCTTATGGAAAGGTCTACACGTGGACATCATATGTCATGTGATGACTGACCGTCCACATAGCAGGCATCATAAACTCAGATGTCTCCAGAGCCCAGCAGGGCCACACACCTATGAAAATGGGCCAGGTATCATACACTGAGGAGTGATGCGCATTTATTTGGACAAGCTAGGGAGTAGAAGCTCCATTTTAAAGGTACTTACTTAAGTTCATTTTTGTTAAATACCCGGAAAGTTAAATAAAACATTGTCTGTGAATGAATCCACCTATGGCCCCTGGTTTGAAACACCTAATGTGGATCATTTTTCAATGTTCCTAACCTATTAGGATCAAGGAGCCTAACGAGCAAATTCCTTTCTCTGGACTGACTGATATCTCTAAGGTCAGAGGAATGGGTTTGAGGCTTCCTGAAGTCACTATTTCCTGATGTGGCACTACAGGGCATTAATTTCTTCCCTCGTAGGTTGGAGTTCAATTTCTAGAGAAGGTATTTGAAAAGGATCATCTGAAGATAATCTGTTTCTCTGATTGACAGACAGCAGTGAAGAGCGTGCTCATTGTTATTCCAGTGTGCACACAGTTATTCGCGAGGGTAACTAATCTATCTCTTTATTACTCAATTTCCCCTAAGTGGAAAAGTTCCTTTTCAAGTGGCCTCTCTTTCTTTGCAAGTATCCAGAATGCAAGTTAATTTTTATGTAACAGTTAGAATGAGTGGGATTACCTAGTGGGCTCTGACGGTGTAGTGAGAAGTTAGTGCTGAGTTGGGATGATGACTGTCTGTTTGACCTATAAAGCTACACCAGTGTTCCCACACTTGCCCCACTGGCTTCCTTACTCCCAAATGGGGGAGGGGAGGGTGGATTCCATTTTTGTTCCTGCTGGCTCGGCCTTCTTGACCCGGGATAGGATACATCTGCCTCCCTCAAAGGTCACTGTGTTCTGGATGGGATCCTCAGGGGTATTAGTTATAAATATACGTGATGACTGCATAACATTTCAAGCTCTACAATCTTGTCAATGTTTACTCTTGAAAATTGAGTTTAGTTGGCTCTTTTCTCTGCTAAGTGAGTTTTGTTTCTTTTGCTTTTGAGATAAGCTTCAAAATGAGAAAAGTCACTCCAAACACCTAAAAGTTACTTTTCTTGATGATTAGTAAGGATTTATTAAAGAAACATGCATTCCAAACTTCACAATCTCCAAGCTTATGACCTGCTTCGGCCTGGGATTATGAAAGGTTTGGGCCGAATATTGTGCTTGTGTTCAAAGTAGTTCACATCCTGTAAAAACAAAGGGTTAAAACATCCCTCAGTGGAAGACCAATATATATTTTTAGATAAAATTAATAAACAAATTAATAATTGTACAGACCAGATTATTTACCACCAGATATTGACAAGACTAAGAAGGGTGAAGATGGAACCAGAGCGATTTCTTCGTTTTAACCACCTATTCACTAAATGTTCAGAAACTGGCCACTTGGACTCCAGAACATTAGAACCATGTTCTAGATGCTTGTCTTTAAAGTACAAATCTGATCATGCCTTCAGGAAAGTAAAAATAAAACAGCAAGAGCTGGACTTTTGAAAGGAAAAGAAACCGTGTTGTTACTGTTAAGAGCATGGTGGCCAGAGACCGAGTCCGATACTTACTTTTGAGGCGAACTAGGAATGAGACCCCGCAGCTGTCCATGAAGTGCATCTTGTATATTGCTAGTTGAATAGAGCCCAATGGGTGAGTTATAGGAAGCGCTCACTACCTGTCTTTTGTCATCAATGTTTGCTGCTGCAACAAAAGGCTGGGCCCTTCTGTTGTGCCCGGTACCAATGGGTTTGAACTCCTGTACAATGGCAGACAAAATACACAGAGCCACAGAATGCACAACAAAGCCATTAATGAGCAAACCAACAGCATTTCTATTGTTAGTCAAGGCTTCTTTACTCACTATGAGATTAATGGCAAGGTTAAAAGAGGAGTTAGATATAAACCTTTCTATGCTTTCCGGGAAATTTACATGTGTTACGTTCATCCACCCAGTGGTAAGGGGCAAAGGAATTGATCTCATTTAAAATATTACAAAATAATCCAAACACTGTATCTTTTGTCTGCCCCTACTGACTTCTATATCTATCACTTAAAAAAAAAATTCTCATATGGCTCATTTAAACACACAAAAATTTTGTGTCAGAAGTGAGATTTGGGGCTTAGAAAAATTATTCTACTTAACATTTTCTCATGTAAAATTTACACATGCTTTCTCTTCTGTTAATATTTTAATAAAATTTTCCCCATTTTTAGGAAATGGAGGAATAAAACAGTCAAAAAGGGAGTGAGCATTTATGAATAACTATACTGAATCATTTTAACTAATTCAAGTAAATGTTCTGTTTTTATTTTTTCCTTAATACAACAAAAAACAAAATTCTGAATTTGGATTAAGTTATAACCTTAACTGAAGAAAAAATACTAAGAATTGAAAGACTTTTTCCTTATGAAAGCAGGAATAACGTTTATAACTGCCTCCCCCCCCACCCCCTTTTACTGTGATGATTTTATGTTGTGTGTTTAAAGAACTCTTTGCATTTACTTTAGTCCCAGAAAGACTAAGGTCACTAATGCAGAGATAGCTCATGTATATGAGTCACAAAAGGATTTTCATTTTACTGCTGGGGAAAAGGCCCAAATATCAGAGTCCCAAATTCTGAGCTTGAAATATGCCTGAACGATCTGAAACTCTGTATTATGACTTTTTAATGTCGGAACCACATTTTCCAATTTTCATATAGATTTATAATTTCATAAAGTTATAATTTCTTCTTCTTCTAAGCAACAGAAGAAAACCGAACTAGAATGCTGAAATACACATGAGCTAATTCTCTTTCCAAATCTTTTCATTTGGCAGACTTAGTAAGACAAATCTTTACAACAATATTTTCACTCACACATTCACATGAACTTCATTTACTTCTGTGAATGTGTCACCAGTGTTTCACACAGATTTCAAGTAGTACAAACATGATTGTTTGCAATGTTACTGGAAAGAGACTGTTTTTATTAAAAAGTAAAAATATCTTGTAGTGTTCTTTTTTTATGTCATTGCTTCTTTCTTGTCATTACAGACAAGTAAGTTGTGAAATGGTGCTTTTTTTGTTAGAAAAGAAACGATCTCCCGTTTTTAGGGGTGGAACCAGAGTTTTGCATGGAGATCCTCGTGCTGGAGAACACCAGCGACTTCCTGAGGGACCTAAGCAGCATAATGCTTTTTTTTGGGTTCTTCTGAACAGTCACCACACATACCTCCGATGTCCCCATATAGACTATTGGCAAAGCCAACTTGATAAAAAAAAAAAAGTTATGATAAGGCAAATGGGGCGCAGTGTCAAATGACTGACTCCAGTAGCCCCAAATCTCATGATACCTGAAAACCTGTGACATGGTCAAGAGCAGTTTTTTTCTCATCAGCTTTGGGCAGCATATTTTAATAGCCTCCTCAGCTTGACAAGAAGGTCTGAGTTGAACATATTAGCTTATGGGACTATTGATTGAATTGACTGCTAGCTTCTGATTCCTTTTTCTTTTTTTCCTTCAGAATAATGGCTCACTGCCTAGGAGTTGGTTGGGTGACAATAGAGTTGCTGCTATTAGATAGCTGAATGGCTGAAACAACCAAATATGGCTTTAGAAAAATGCTGAATCCCAGAACATGTGAAAATGTATGGAGTCAAATGTTTATATAGTGGTACAATCTGATTGTTTTGGCTAATTGAATAATGAATTTGGATTGGCTGTGTTTTATGATTAACCATTATGATTAAACATTATTGTGTCATGAAATTATGAATTGGAAATAATTGTAAGTAATGAGAATGGCCATGATTCAAGCTTTGTTACCCTTTTTGATATGAAAGAAGACAGAAGGCTAATTGTCTAAATGCCTAATTTAGTTTTGGTGAATTATAAATCTCTCAGGCTTATTAAAAGAGTGAATCAGGCAGGACTGAAGGACTCAAACAATATGAAACTTAACTTTTATTTTTTTAAAAAACAATATGATATGCCTTACAGACTTTGGTAAATAGAACCGAAACTACAAAAACTAGTTAACATAATGTGATGGTTTATGGAAAAAAAAAAACCTCTAATGGTACTTCTAAATAGCAGCAGATAAGTTAATCAGCTCCAAACTTTTTTCTTTGTCATTTTCAGTTTTGGTTATATATTGCAAAAGTCACAAATGTGTAATTTGTTAAGGGAAAAATATCCCTCTATTTTCTACTCAGATCCTGAAAGGAAGTGTTTCTAATATAGGCTTCAAACATTCGTATTTAGGCTTTGCAAAGCATTAGTTTATGGACTCTAAGTCATTCCAAAATAGCACAATGAAATGTATATGCCAAAGGTAAACGAAAAATTTAAGTATGGCAGTGAGAGGCAGCATTCTGTCCAAGTCTTACATCACTGTTGATGGTTAAACAGAATCGAAAGACAAAGCCAATTAGACGTTTGCTATTCCACTTTCATTTCTTTTCATTTATAGGGGAAAATAATTAGTCATGGAAAATACCAATAAAAACTTTATATGGCAGTTAATATAGTCCAGCTCTTGTGTTTATTCTACCCAGACAAAAGCATCCAGATGATTCTTATCTCTTAGGAATTCAGTAAGTAATCTTTGTAATTAATTAAATTTTTAAATATTATTTTCAAATGTTAGGAGCTTATATTAAGGAATTATATTTTGAATTCATAAAATGCTAGAGTTGCCATAGTAAAAGCCAAGAAACTTGACAGAGATCCGATGATATCGGGGAACGCAGCTCTTGACAATCTCCCGAGTCTTGGAATGACCTCAGCAAGGAAAGCATTCAAAGACAATTCACCTTTTAGTTTCTCACTTGGAGACATTGTCAAAAGTGAAGACTGAGCCTGACACTGAAGCAATTGCCAACTCCAATAGGAACATGTTTGATAATATACATATACAGAGGGTGCCAAAAAAAGTGTATACAATTTTAAGAAAGGAAAAAAAAGATTAAAACTGTAATATTCAATATATACCGATAACAAAAGATGAATACAAGTCACATTTGACTTCCGCAATTACAAGAGGTGCTCAAAGTGGTTACCATCAGCGTCCAGACACTTCTGATTACGGCGAAGCACTGCTTGAGCAACGGTAACTAAAGTGTACACTTGCATACATTTTTATGGCACCCCCGGTATATTTATTTATAAGAAAAGTGGTAGGGAAATAAGGAAAACACTATATTAAGTGATTGTATATTTGATCAAGCCACAATGACTAAATGATTATATTTTATCATGTTTGGAATTTATGAACAATCACTCCCCCTGCCTCATCCTCACCCTGCAAATTTAAAAAAGTCACCTTTATAATTATTTTTTCTGCAGTGATCTGTTCCAAGTGTTTTCCATGTCTCATCGGGGAAGAGTTTAGAGAAATGGGGATTATGAAAGTTTGCTTTGTGTAGGCTGTTGTCCAGTTATCAAATCTTGTAGAATAAAGTTATGAAAATATAAACAACTTCAACCCATACTCCACCTGACCATGCATATAGTGCATCTTTATTATCATATCTTCTATGCAAGGATGCAATCCTTTATATGGAAGTGGAAATAACTATCGTTTCCTTTAGAAAAGTACCAGTTTTAGTTTCTGAAAAGCATCTCTCCTGTCTTGTGATAGCTACATTATACTTTTGAGTTGTTCAATAACATTAAACAAAGATGAGGTAATGTTTTTTTTGAAAAAGTGAGCTTTGAAGGAAGACAAAGAACTGTAACATACCTTGAGCCTAGAGCAATGCTTTGTATAGAAAAATGCATATGTCTGCTCACAAGCCAGGTTCAGGATAGTAAGGAAGGTGTTTATTCAATGGCTGGGATTGATCTAAATGACAGCCTTTAGGGTTTTGAGTCTAAATTCATAAAAAGCAAATTTTAACTATTTCATATTTGCATGGCAACATGAACAAAATAGATGTTAAAATTTTGTATCAATTATTACTATAACTGTGTAAGAATAAGCCCTCAAAGCCTAAACTTATGCATAGGGGAAAGACTAGAAACAAATACACTAACACTTTATTATCTGTGGTTGGGATTGGATGGTAGGATATATAGTAATGGATTTTTTCCCCATCAAATATATATTACTTTTAAAATGAAAAAAAGCATTTTTTTCCAATGGTAAAGGTCACATAACTTACAATATAGTATGAGTTGTGTTGAGAAACAAGAACTGAAATGTTGTATTGCCCAATGGCATTTTACGATTCATCTACAATGGCATCTTAAGGCATGATATATTAATGGCATTTGTTTCTCATACTGATAAACCTTTGTTGTCCAGAGGGTTGCTTTATTTGCAGAGTTCTCATTTGATGGGAGTGGGGGTGGGGTGGAGGTGGGGGGCGAGACATCTCTTTCCATAAATTAAAAAATAAAAGAAGAATACAAACATATCCACAGTTTAGCTTTTCTCTAATTTCATTCTGCAAATTAAATTCATTGTTCGGTTTTATCACTGCATTTTCTTTCAGTTTATGCTATCGGACTTTTGGATAGCAGAGGTTGTGCTGAAATTTAGCTGTGTTGTGTAGGGAATGTCTGTCCTGAAATGCCAATTTCTATGAACTGATCACGCATAAATATGGCCTGAGGATATAAGAAGCAAGCATCCTTTGATCCACTAGGAAATGAACTGAAAAGGTTCTTATCTCTGAGCCCTTCAAACATGTCCTCTTGTAGAGGGTGCCAGTAAGAATTAGTCACGACTCAAACTAAAGGACTGTTAAAAGGCTCCATCTGACTGGCTTCTGTAGCCCTTAACCCAGTCCTTACCTTTTTTAAAAAAGAAAACCTACCTCATTCTCTATCTTTTCCCCATTTGAAGTATCGTAAAGATCCACATTGTCTGGCCCCAAATTGCAGGGCACATGGGCTAACACATGACTGACAAGAGGTCAGGGTATTTAAAATTAGGATTATGTTTTAAAATCTAATTCTTGGGATAACTATAGTCATAGTTGAATACTCATAATTTACAAAAGGGGCCTCTTGTAAAACTCAGGCAGTTGCCCTTAAACTCCAATTCTGGAGAGATGTTAATAAAACACAGGCTTCCATCTCTGCTAAGCTCACCCTGTGCTTAGTAAGTGCTTGCTGAGCCAGCCACCTCCATGCCAGAGGGGGCGGTGCTACATGATCAGGGATCACTGGGGCTTTGAAACTTTCCTCAAATCTGTCTAATTGGCCCTATATTTTGGCATCACACATTGATAAAATTGGGTTTAAAAAATTAGGTGAAATTTTGAAGGGAAAAATAATTTGCCAAAAGGTGCAGTACAATTTTGGATGTGTACTATATATGGAAAAAAAATTCAGAATTCTATTCAGTTTATCCTGATGATAATAAAAGAATGTGTGGTCAAAGAAATGCATCTATGCAAGCTTTCAATTTCCTTTTTTTTTTAAAGCACCATATGATCTCTTTTTCTCATGCGTTGCCTCTAAGTGATGAATTGATAAGGGCAGGAGGAAATGAGAGGGCTTGGGCATTACTGCAAAGGGCTATCTACAAGTGACAGCTGTACCTCAAGAACTCTGTTTTTTCTTCTTCCACCCTTTCCTTCTATCAAAGATAATATTGATTAGTGGTATTATTATTCACCAACCCACCAGCGAGGCCAGGGTAAGCCACCATCAGCATTCAAAACCCTTCCTACCACATTTATTACCCATCTCATCCATTGTATCTCTTACCTGCTTACTCTGAAGAGCAGAACCCTTATCTGACCTAAATAGTCCACTCACCTCGCACAATCACTTTTACTGTGCAACGGCTGGAGGTAGTGGCAGAACACCCTCTGAGGACTGGTTCCCAGAATGGGTTCTGGGCAATGTTAGAAAATGCAATTTTATCTTTTGACCCTCCCATTACTTTGATTCATTTGTCAGCTATTTATTGAGTATTTTAACTGAAAAAATAAAGTTTTAATCCAAAGTAATTTGGAATGACCCTGATAATAGTAATGAGGAAGGCCTTCCTTGTCTCTAGGAAGCCCTATCATATAGGCAGATTCCTAAGGCCAGAAGGCCTTCTCATGACAGCATGGTGGGGACAAGGATGGGGGAGGGGGGAGGAGGGAGGTACCCTACCAATCATTCAGTATCTCTATGAGTGATTCAACATGCCGAGTTCTTTTATTATATTATTTTACTTAAATGTTTGAGAAGCCCTATGAGATGCATGTATATATGTTACTCTACATGTATTTTACAAAGAAAATGGAGGCTTATAGAGACAAACGGAAAGCCTGAAGGACAAATTCCATATTGATGATACTGAAAGGGGAAACACTGCTGAAGCATAAATTACAAATATGTTTTCAGTTCATTTTTATTAGATCTATAGAAAAACTACACTTTGGGACTATATTCAGTTTAGTAGGAATACTTGTTTTAAAAGGGATATTTCATTCATATACCTATCTCTCTAAATTTGGGGAACTTCTAAGTAGAGGTTCTAAAACCTTTTTCTTAATTACATTTTCCATACAAAACAATTGAGGGTTGGTTTAATTTCAGATTGTTGGAGTGTTTGAGAGTAGACATAGTCAGATAGGCATCAGATTATTAATTTAGCTCAGTAGATAGAGTTGCCTCAAGGGAAAATTTTTTATCCTTATAAATTCAACTGCATGAGCGGAATATCACCACAATGCAAAACTTTTCATAGAGTAAAATTAATTATAGAATTCCATAACTGAGAATTTAAGAATGATGTAAAATAAGATCTGGGTGAAGATCTTGAAGAATTAAAGTTCACAATTAGTATTAGATTAGAGACACCTGTTTCAAATGGTAGATTCTATTTTTGTTTTGCTTTGTTTTGACATCTTAAACTTATGGGATTACCTCATGGTCATTTGGTAGAAGTCCATCATAAAAAGTGAAAAAAGTAAGTGGACTATGCATAGAGATAGTCAAATTTTTCCTGCTGAGAACATATTTGTCTTTTAACAAGATGTTTGCCTAGGCATCTTTCTCCTTTTTCTTAAGGCAAGAAGACATGGATGATATAAATTAATCTCAGAGAGTAAAGACAGACAACTGCTTCATCAGGTGGCTTATTCCAATTTTTTATACTTGCCACTTCTTCCTCTTGCAAGTTACCCACATCGTTTACACGGAAGTGTAATGTGAATATCATTTACTCTAAAATCATACCTGTGGTTCTGATTCTAAGTTGATTTTGAAAGGATGAGCCTTCCCATCTTCAGATACCTGTGGAGACCATAAGCGAGTTTCTGCCCTATAAATAAAATAAAGTTTGTAAACACCAAATTCTAATGGTTCTTCCAGTATTAGTATTTTTAAATTTCCTATTATGTTTGTAAAAATACTATCAACCCTTGATAATTTAAGCAAAAGCAATATTCCTTGCTCAATATTCTGTATTCTCTCATCTGATTAGTCTTAGGTTTCTAATGTACTTTTGGGAAAACTAGAATGGATCAAAATGGACTACTATGAACTGAATGTTTGCGTTCCCCTCAAATTCATCTGTTGAAACCCTAATCCCCACTGTGATGATATTTGGAAGTGGGGTCTTTGAGAGGTAATTAGGGTAAGATTAGGTCATAAGAATAGGGTTCTTATGTTGCCCTATTAATGCCCTTATAAAAAGAGGAAGAGAAATAAAATCTCTCTCTGTGCATGCACCTAAGAAGGCCATGTGAGGTCATAACCAGGAAGGAGATTTGCTGTTGGCATCAAGGAAATGTGCTTTGTCCAATCCTTCTTATGTATCTACTTGGGACGTGTGCTTCTAAGTGACTGCATGCTTGGCAGGAACACAGGTTATGCATATGGGGAAAGAGTCCATTTCATCCCATGAAATGGCAGGTCAACTGTGTGCCTTCTGTACCAGCAGGGAAAATTGTGAATGCATTAGCAACAGGATAAATATACACTAACAACCATTATAACAAAACATTATTTTCATGATTCAGTTTCATATCCGGGCTCTGATGGCAAAAGATCAGGTTCAATTTCCTAATACAGCTTTTGGTCAGAAATGTCTCATTATCTAACACACTCATGTGCACATGCACTCTCACACCTAGTGAGATTTTTCTGGGCTGAATTCTGTACGAAAGAGCCAATGGCATACCACTATTAGCAACCAATTTTTAGCATGACCACATTTTGCCAAGTCAAGAGATTCTTTTAAGAGAATCTTTAAATTCTATTCACCACCACATTTAGAACAGCAGCACAACTAGTTGCACTGTATAGTGTTCCTGTGGCTAGTACATGTAATGTTTCTATTTTCAGTCAATTAACTAGATAGTTGACTATGTATTAACTTAGTCTATACATTAGTTAAGAGGCTAAGTATTTTTTAGCCTCTTCCATTATTCTGACATTCCAGAGAATTCCTTTTAGAAATAGTTTGTTAACAACTACTAGACTGTCTGACTGAAGCAAAGAACAGACCAAAGTAGTTGATATATTAAAAGCAAGTCAAAATTCTAGGTTCTGTGACACCCTTCTCATTTGGAGGATTACATCACTTAAAGTTGTGGCTCAGGTTCTCCTGCCAAACAGATCACATTTTAACACCTTTAATTTAAGAGCACCTGTCAATTTTGAGACATAGCTGGTGTGCTGCTGCTTTAATCCTGTCCTGTGCATCAGCATGAGTCATAGACTCTGTACCGAAGCCATCAATAGCCAGGATGACATCTCCAGGACACAGGTTGGCAGCTGCCGCCTTGCTTCCTGGAGTAATCTGGAAGAAATCATGGCATCATTTAAAAACCAACATCCTGCAATATCTTGAGTTACATGCCTGACATTTGCATTTCAGCTTGGTAACATTTTTAAATGTTTTACTGGGCAGGGAATCATAAATCTAACTTAAAATAGCTGTTAATTGATAAATTGTATTAACTCTATTTTTCCATCATATTAGATAATTTTGTTTCTTACCACATTTCTTATGACATCTCATATTTACTTTCCATAACACCCTGTTTGAATCCTATTTTCTTTGCTTTAAACAAAATAATTGGGAATAGGACTTTACTAAATTTAGGGAGCTTTTTATATTTGAATTGAAAATGCTTTAGCATCCGTACAAGTTCTGATGTTTAAAATTCACATGAGGTGACACCTGGGATGCAGAAAGCTGGAAAGAGAATCCCTTGCGAATAAGAAGAAGCTTTATAATATTGTAAAATTCTAACTTTTCATGAACTCTTCAGATTGCTGAAGTTGCAGGGTGACCAACTAGCCTGGAATTTAAGAAAAAATAGATGCCTCCAAGGAAAGACGAAATGTAAGCATGGGCTCACCTGTATCAGAGCACGGAGGAAGATGGGCCTACCATACTAGCTGTTAAGAATTTAGCTAAAATTATGAACAAATTGCTAAAAGCCAAATGTGAGTTAGCATTGAGAGTCTAGAACCCCTGGGAACCGCAGACACAAGGGAAGTCTGTATCCACATGCAGCCTCTTCTCCATGAATGAAGGACAGATGAAACAAATACTAATAGAAAACAACAAACAAGATGCAAGATTTTAATTAAGCTCTATCAGTAATTATATTAAATGTCAATGATCTAAACACACCACACTTTTTAAAAACAGAGATTGTCAAATTAGGTAAAAAAACAAGATCCAGTTTTATACTCTACAGAAACCATGTTGATTTCTTTTTTGGGGTGGGGCAATGAAAGGAATACTTATAAAAGATATGGGAAGATATGGTTGTTAAATGTTTAAAAGGTAGCAAATTTGAAATTATTACCAGGTTGAGTATTCAAAGTCTATTATTCTCTTTATTGCTATACCTATTACCAATTTTTCTGGGTAAATCCCAACTACTTACCACGGCCCAGTAGTCTTCATGGGTCTTTTCCTACCTACTGTACTTCTCTACCATCATCTTCTACCCTTCCTGCTCCCACTCATCCACTGCGCTGGAGCTATTCTGATTTTATTTTTGTTCCTCAAATAGGCTAAGCTTATACCCTCTTGAGGGCTTTATATGCACTGTTATTTTTGCCTGAAATGCTTCCGCCAGTCTTCACCTAGTTCCTTCTCACCCTTTAGGTCTAGGCTTAAAAGTCACATTTTCAGAGAGACTTCCCTAAACATCTGAATTAGCTGCTCCTGCTCCGACCCCATTATTCCCCACCATTGCACCCTGTTCATTTCTTTAAGGAAGGCAATTTGTACTTTTATGTTTGTTTATTTACTTGTGTATTATCTGTCTTCCCAACTACACTGGAAGTTCTTGAAGATATGTATAATATTATGTATATTCCTAATGCTTCACAGTGTATATTCCAGTGTTTTGAATGAATGAATAATTCATTGAAAAATGAATGGAAAGGCTATTTAAATAAAAATTTATGAAACAAAAAGAGCTAGTCCCTACATGCTCGAAGATTATGGCTATTACTGTCAACAAATCATTGTTACATTTTCAAGTTCCCACTATTAAAATAGAATCATACATACGTAGAACTTGACTTAAACCTAAAACTGCTCCAGGAATAAACAAGATTGTCCCTAATGTTTTACTTGAGGATCAGTCATTAATTCAATATTTTTCTCTATTTGCTTAATCTAGTTATTGATTCTGTTTAACTTTGTGGCTCTAAGGGAGATTCAAGATTCATCTAGATAAATGAAATTCCTAAAATAGTAAATGCCCATGTGTCTTAGATCTTCAGTCTCATCACTAAAATGTTTATTGTATTCACTTTATTTCTGTGATCATCCTACTGTAATGATCACGATCATTTTCCATTAGCGATACTTGACAGAATCTGGGTGAAGACAACTGGGAATTATTGCATCTCAGCCTTCAGGAGGCATTTCATAGCTGTTTTCCATTTAGAAATTCTCCCCAACCCAGCACTGTTAAAAGAATAAAATTTCCATCCTCAATGTGACTTGTAGGGTTAAAAATAATCTTAAACTTTCAATTTTCTCTAGCTATAGTTTGTCAAAATTAGTACTATCAATTTTTTAACTTCTAAGACCAGAATGCTTTCCTTTGAGATAAAATATGAGAAAATGTGGCTCAGTGCATTTGCTTTTAAAACCTCACCCACATTTTCTAATATAATGAAATAGATTTAAGTTATATAATACTCCATCTTGATTTGGAAAAGGCTAATATTATTTTTTTTTAGCTCTGGTTAGAATGAGTGGAAGGTAGGGTTGTGTGTGTACGAGGTGTGATCAAACAATACAGTGAATGTTTAAATTTAAAAAAATTATTACAGTAAAAGACACATTGCCATTAATCCCCCTTAAAATACTTCCCCTTGCTTCGAACACACTTATCCCATTGTTCTTGGCCACTTTCTGAAGCAGTTCTGGAAGTCCTCTTTCATGAGTGTCTTTAGTTGTGCTGTCTCCATTTAGTTCTCCATTGCCTACAGATAAATTCCAGTGCCTCTCCTGTCATCTAAAGCCCTCCATCATCTAAGGTCTACATTTCCAGAGCCATATTCCACACCAGTTAAATCAGAATATCTGTAAGTAGTACCTGGGCACGGGTATTTTCCAAAGTTATCTGGGTGAGTCTAATATAAAGCCAGGGTTGAAAACTATTATGGTATTGTTGTTATTATTATTAGTATTGTATTATTACTGAGAACCATTATCTCAATTCTCAAGACAATCTTTTAAGATGAGAAAACTGATGCTCAGAAAGTATAAGAAACTTACTTAGGGTCACACATCCAGTGAAAATCTGAATTTCCCTCATGGGTTTGGCTAATTTAATAGCTCAAGCTCATCCACTATCCTACCATGCCACTCCTGCAGGTCATCTCTCCCCCTGACTCCTCCTATCTCTTTGGCCATACTCCCCCCCCCCCCCCATGGCATCCTGGACAAGTTGTAACATGGTGGTTTATGAACATGTCCCTTCTCTTCTGATATATGGGCTTCTAAAGGCATGGGAACCTATTAAGTTATAATTGTATTCCCCACAGGGCCTTCCACATACAATACATTCTGCTCTTAATAGATAATTGTGGGAGGTATGGATGTTATAAACATATGAACCAGCACTTCCATGCAGACACATCTTTGCTAGAACAAAATCAAACAAGTTTTTGTTTAGATCAACTTTCCTACCACAATTAAATTCTGGAAAAGGATTGCATTCAACTGTGAACATTTCTTTCCAAAAGTTCACATTTAAAATATAGTTTATATGAAAGTAATATATTTTTCTATGTTAAAGCCTGTGTAACGTAAGAATACACTAACTATGTTGGTACCCAGATCCGTATAACATTCTTGGTTACAGTGATCTGAAACCTGGGTGTGCTCTGAATGAAAGGAGGGTGGAGGGAAGGAGGAAGAGGAATTGAGTGGGAAGGGACATACTGGCATCAGATGTATACAATAACTCTCCATCATGTGCACAAAAGAAGCTTGTAGTTTATTCCAAATTGGACCATTTGTGAAAACAAACGATCTGTAAGTTGGCAATGACAGTAGATCCACTCCGCTTTCTGGGTGGTCCAAACACTTCAAAAAGAAAGACTCCTTAGAATTTTCTTGCCAGAAAAAGAAAAGCTGCTCACTTGGAGATGTGAACCTTAAGCTTTATTCTATGAAATACTCAGGCCAGTTATATATGGTGTTTGCAAATACTTCATACTCTCCCAAACTGAACTTTCACAACATAACCCATATTGTACAAAGTCTAAAACACCTATTGTCTAGAATTGCTTTCCTAAACATTGTTGGTATCACAACCAATGGCTCAATTTTTTTGTGAATGTCTGGTGTTTGATTTACCTTATTTCTGATGTCTTTCATGATACAAGGATTAACCTGGCTGGTTAACTGGATTGTAAACAGTTATGGGTGTAATTTCAGTGGTTGGGGAGAGTCACATTTGTAAACCCCTCCCCCAGCTCTGGTGGAGTGGAGGACCACCATCCAGGAGCATCACTAGAGTCTGGACTTGTAGAGTGTGAGGCAGGGAAGGAGGAGGGTAGCTTTTAGGAAGGCAAAAATTGATTTAATTGACTTGAGCAATACATCTCATTTATGGGACTTCTTGTGGCATTCAGTGCAGGCATTGGTATTTCAGTTCTTTGTGTACTTAGGAACTTATGTAAAATAGACAAATCAATTAACAATAAAACAATTCTCATTCATCTTATTGTGGAATATTTTTGAGGACAATCTGAACTTACTTATGATAGTTATGTTAAAAAGTGAACAATTTAGTCCATCATTTATATCGTGTCTGTAACATATATGATGTACAAGGCACTGTGCTTGGCACTGAGTAAGCACCCAAATTTGAAAGTTCTTGCATTGAGGAGCATATGATTTGTGGAATATAGATGTTCATCTGTGGTATAAGGTGTGATCTGAAGAGAGGTTGTAGGTCAGAAGCCATGGTAATCAAATGGATGAAATGTTTGTTGCTGGAAGAAGGCTAGGGGAGTGCTGTTTCCCTGGGTTTCCAGAGGACAGTGGGGTGGGGTGGAAAGAGCATTCTGGAGAAAAATGATAGAAGAGCAAATATATGTTAGAGAAATCCTAAGTAGTCCAGAGTAGTGGCACCGCTGCCTACCTATGAACTGAGAGGAGGAAAGGGAGAGAGAAGAGAGAGAGAGGGAGGAAATGAAGTTGGAACCTTGAGTTGGGGCAAAGGGGGAAAACCATGAATGTGTGTAAAGACCACTCGTATTCTCTATAAACTGGTGATGCCATTGAAGGGTGTTTGAGAATGGAAAAAATAGGAGCAAGTTTGCATTTCTCAAAGATGGCTGGGAAGAATATACAAGGTAAATTGGAGAGGGGCTACAAATAGCTAAGTGAGACATTATGAAATCTTGAAGAGGGACAGTGGTAGAAAAAAAGGAAAGTGGTAGATCTTAGAGATACAGAACGAATAGGACCAGGCGATGAATTGATGACACAAAACTCCTGTTTGGAAATATCTGTACAATAAGCAGAACTTTTCACATGCATGGGCTTCAGAGTGCAGACTGTGGAGGCAGGTAGACATGGCATCAAATTCTGGCCCACCACTTGTGATCATCAGCAGGTAAATGAAGCCCTCTCTCTCTCTCTTGCTTTGGTTTAAATATTTTTTTTTTTGTAAAATTAGTTTCAGGTGTACTAAACAACATACTGATTAGACATTTATATTCCTCACAAAGCATAGGGAATATACTCAATGGTTAATGAATCTCTTGAAGCCTAACTCTCCTCATCTGCAAAAAAGGATATCACTCTTTTTGGATTATTGTGAGATTTCAGTGAGTCAGTGCATAGAAAGGGCTTAAAAGAGTACATGGCAAACAGAAGAGTATAACCTTATTTACATATACAACCTTATTTACTACCTTTTCACATTGTATAAAATTATAAAAGCAATTGCATAATTCTACTACCTAGTCTACTACCTACACTGATAATTATTTTTGTGCAATATGTTTTAGTCTTTTTTCCAAATGGTTTTTAGTATTCTTATGGTTTCAGTGGAAATAGTCTCAATTAGGTGTTCACTAAGGCAAAAAAAAGTTCAAGTGAATATGCTTTTATTTCTTCAACATACATCTACCATGTGCATAATTTTGGGGATGCCTGGGATACAAAACAATTTGGTTTTACCTGCTCTCCTTGAGTTAAATTAATTGAAGAGAAAATGCATGGTCCAGTGAAATAATCATATATGATTGTACACTGTTACTGAACCAAGTGTCAAAATGAGTGATACAAATTAGTAATGAGTTAAAAATTCAAACAAGAATTGACTTTCTAAATACTAATTGTCATTATATCAAATACATTTACCAATAGCCCCTGTAGTCCAACTCCAAATGTAAGCATTGCTTTAAATAAACATTGTTTAAAATGTCAGCAATTCAAAATTTCAAACATAAGATGAATCATATTGACAGGTTATATAGTAATAGCAAGGTATTTCCTTTATAAATCACTTAAAGGATTTTCGTGACAAAATAATTCTTTAGGAGTTAATATAAATGTGATTTATCCTCTGTTAGGATTCAAAAGCGTATTTCATTTAATACAAACAAATGAAAACTATACTTCAGAAACTTTAAAAAATATTTCTTAGTAGAGATAATGGAAACTCTTTTCTTTGGTAAATCCATAAAAGGAATTGCTTGGCCAGATCACTGAACCATTTTCTGCTTAATTTACTTAGGAACATTTTTAGGGGTATATTAAGTTTTCATGTCTCATACAAAAACACATGTCAGCTGTGTTTATATGTTTTTGAAAAATGTAAAACAAAACTTGAAATGTTCCATGGTGTGCGTCTGTCTGTACAATACATGATTGGAGATATTTTAAAAAGACATTGGTTTCCAAGTCTCATAAATGTATAAATAGAACAGAATTTAAAAGGTATTGCTTTGATAAAAAATCTATGTGACTAAATCAGATTATAAAGTATACATTTATAATACTGTATAAGCAGTAAGGAAGAAAAGAAAAGAAAGCTTAAAAAGTATAATATTCATAAAGTTTATAGTTTTAAATTAGGTTTAATATGCTTTATGTGTGATAATTGAACTAATTTTCTATTAAGACAAATCCTTGTGTTAGAAAAAAATCAACTAGACCAACTAGAAATTTACTGACAGGACAGAAATACAGAAGTTTCCTTTTTTCCCCCTCCCAATTAGACAATACTCTAAAGAATGTTAAGTAAGGAAAGCTTGACTTTGATAGTACAGCATTATTTTTAGAGTTATTAGGCTGAGTGGTGACTTTCTATCAGGTAAACTAAACTAGTTGACCCGTTTTCTTTGTAGTTTGAGTTATAGGTGATGATTCCTCAGCCAAGTTCCCAGCTTTGGAAAACATTTATTCAAAATGCCTGGAAACCTAGGAGTACAGATTAGTAATGTTTTCCCTGTCTGGGCTGATACGAGTGGTTCCAAGTTGGCCGACCCAGGTTGTGCCCCGTGAACAGCGCCCTGCTGAAGTTTTCATCCAGACAAGAAAAGCACTTAGATGCATGTCTCACTCTAAGAAACAACAGTAGTGCCAGTACTTTGTCTCTCCTTCCCGGGTCCCGGTCTCTTTTGTTACTGAAATGAGACAGAAGTGGAGGCCAAGAGGGCATCCCGCCCTCGCAGCCTAGCTTTCTCTGAGCCCAGGAAAATTACGCTGTCAGTTCAACTCTCCTCGGAAAGTCCCTGGAGACCGAGAGGACGCAGAGACCATTGGAGCTGACTTGGTTAATTCTCTTAGCTGCTCTGCATCCTCCAAGCCTCAGTTTGTCAAGTTCCTGCGCCTCCTCAAACGGTGCGCTCCAAGCTGAGGACCTACCCAGCGCACACGGGCTCACTGGCCACTCTCTCCTCTCCAGGGGGACCAGCTGCACGCCGGAGTCCCCGACTTAGAGCAAAAGAATGGAAAACACCTACCCTGGTGATGATCAAAGGCTGGTTGAAGTCTATGCCCCCTGAGAGCCTGAACCCCCAGGGTGCAGGGCCAGGGAGGACCACGTTCTGGGGCATGGTGTGTCCCGGCGCGGCCTTCCTAGGGTGAGGGCACCTTGGCTCCCAGGGACTGGGGCGCAGCGAGGGGCGGCCCTGCCCACGGTGAGTGTCCCGGAGCCGGACAGTCCACTATACTCTCCGGGCAGTGTCCTCGCTCCTCTCTTGGACTGCGGCCGGAGAGCTTTATCCCCGCTCCCGAGTGACGTCACCGACCTACCCTCCTCCCTGCCTCCTCCCACCAAGGAGAGCTCCAACTTTGGAAGAAAGAAACGCGCCAGACCCAAGGGAATTTACAGACGCGCACTGGCTGGGTGCAGCCTCCAGACCTCTCCGGGCAGCGCTGGAAAAGGCTTCGGGTTACGACTTCCATCACTCTCTTAAAGTAACACCTGTCCTGTTTATCTTCTACTTGGAGCTCAGCAGTGCGCTTCATTTGAAGTTAAAAGCACTTAAACCACAGCTTCTAAGTTTTCAATTAAGATAAAACAAAAGCATCATCAATTTAATGAGTTATTCAGCAAATTTGAGTGCGATAATATTTACTTACTAGCTGTGTGACCTTGGTTAAATTACTGAACATCCTTAAGCATCAGTTTTCTAATCTGTAAAGTAGGGGTAATAATCGCATTTACCCCATAAGATTACTGTGAAAATGATTTCTCCGCACAGTGAGCTACCATTACAATGAGCTACCTCTGCACAGTGCCTGGCACAGCATTGTGCTCAATTAAGTACACACAGTCATATATATATTTATGGTGATACATAATATACTTAATACATATACAAATACAGTCAAAATTTATTTTTTAAAACCAAGAAATCTAAAAGTGAAAATGTCATGCAAATATATACCCAATCCAATGAACCATCTAAAAGTACATGAGTAGGTGATTAATCAAACATACTCAAAATATATTTTCATTTTGATTGGGGCAATTGTCACCTCCTTCAAATTCAGTTCCTAAACTGGCGTTTTTGACACATGGCAGGCGAACGTAACAGAAACCTAGGAGTTGAGACTGTCCTGTGTAGATGTTGCAGGCAGAGTAAGAGTGTGGCCTAAGAGGACCCCCAAACCGGATATATCTGCATAGGGGAAAAAGAGGGGGACAGGTATTCCTTGAGTATCCTGGTCCACGTGCTGTAGTGATTACCTTCTTTGCACGTGTGATCTTAACTTCTCCTCACAAGTCCACCAGATTGCCATTATTCCCATCTCTTTTTTTTCAGATAAGGAAATAATTTCTTAGAAGTTGAGTAACTTGCATAAGATCACACAGCTAATACGTGGTGGAATTGAGATCATTAACCCAGACCTGACTAGTGACTGTTGGTATAGGTATAGAAGCCAGGAGAGTCCAGGGAGGGTCTTGCCCTAGTCTTGGCATGGAATCAAATATTTCTGACATTATACTCCAGGGTGTTCTCAGTCCCAAGGAGGGGGTGGTGGGGAGGAGAGAAATATATGAACTGCTTTAAGAACTCAAAATGAGAGTCTTGGACTTCATGCCAGATATGATGCGGCCATATTTGTCCAGGAGAGCAGCACTGCAAAACACTTTTAATGGAGTAGTCTGTTTGGAAGTGGCTTTAAGACATAGACAAAGGAGATTCAGGAAGCTGTGAGCAAAGCAGACCACCATGGGGATTGTGTAAATCACAGAACCAGGACTGGTACTACTTTGCCCACTGTGGTGGAGTACGTAAAAGTCCCAGGGGACAGGTGTTTTCAGGTCCCAAATATTTTCCAGTGCCCCACCTATGTTGGGTTATCAGGGAAATAATCAAAATATGTTTTTTGTTGATTTTGCCTATTTGGGCTTGTTATATTATTGTAAGGCATTTTTTTTTCCTGTCAGTCACTGGCTGTATCTGCTTGGTACACACACACACACACACACACACACACACACACACACACACACACACCCCCAGAGGTCAATTAAGAAAAAAAAATCAGACAAGTTTTTTGGTATAGTGTCGTTAATAATAATTGCTTATACCTTATCTCGTGAGCCAGCTTATGTAACCAATCAACTATATACGTTTTTGTTTTTCTGCCTTTTTGCCAGTCATTTTTGGCATCATTTAGATGTAAGCAATGCCTATACATTATCAGTATAATACTTAATGACTTCTTAAGGCTTTCCAGAGAGTATGGGAAGCGAGTGTAACAGAAACCTAGGAATTAAGACTGGTCTGTGTGGATACTGCAGCCAAGGTGAAGGTGCTGCTTTTGGTTTTGGTATTGTCTTAAGAAGTTCTTTTTGGATGAGTTTTTCATTTATTTTCTTTTTATATTTCCCTTTTTAAAGGATTATGGTAAACTCTTTATGATTCCATTAAATATTACTTTTATAATTATCATTTTAAACAATATTAAAACAGTCCTTTAACTTTTTTCTTTTAGAAGAGGGTCAATAAAATTGTTTATTCTACTTTGATATAACTGGAGAATTTTTCTGTTGGTTAAAACAATCATGTCTCTGATTTTAATTCTCAAATCTATAATTTTAACCTTGAATTTTCATCTACTTTCTGACACTGTTTTTCTAACTGCATATTCATACAAATACAATTCACCTTGTTCAAAACCAAACCCATCCTTGTCATTACTCACTTCAAACTGATTTCCTGGCTCCTGTGCCTTTCAAGTTCCTCATTTCTGTTTATTTTTCTACTACTGTTCTGGGCTTCTAGGATTCTAAATGTTTCCTCTATTTCCTATACATCCAATGTCACTATTTATTGTGTTTTCATTCATTCATTCATTCATTCATTCATTCATTCATTCATTCAACAAGCATTTGTTGAGCATCTGTGACATGCCAGGCATTGGGAATGCAAAGGTGAGTAAGGCCCACTTTCTGTTCTCTAGGAACCAGTAATAAAATATGGGAGACGGAGGTGTAAAATGTGATCACACAATGTGATGAGGGCATTTTATACAGTGATGGAATAAGAATGAAGTATGTAATCAACTCTCCTTGAGGGAGGTGTCAGGGAAAGTTTCCAGGGGAAGGGACATTAGAGCTGGATCCTAAAGAGTAAGAGTTTCCCAGGCGACTGGGAATTGGAAGAGGAGCAAAAAGGAGGAAATTCAAGGCAGACAGAAGTGTATAGAATGTGCAGAGGCAGCGAGGCAAGAAACAGATGGCAGATTAGGAAACAGCAAGTAATTTCATAGGAACAGATCTTAGTGAATTGGGTAGCACAGGGGTCAAGGGTCATAGCAGTCAGAGGTCACATCAGAGGGGATTCTGCATGTTACATTATCATTTTGATTTCATCCTATCAGGAGCCTTGGCAGGGTTTTAAGCAACATGCTTAAGAATCAGATTTTTGTTTTACAGGCTTCATTCTGGGAGGTGGGTGGATGAATCACAATCGAAGGAGATAGGAAACAGGAAGTCCAGTTGCAACTTACTGCAATAATCCAGGGGTAGATGTTGTTTTGGGCAGTGGGGATGGAAAAGAGAGGGCAGATATGGGAATCATTAGGAAGGTTAATTGGCACGCTGTGGGGACAGATCTCATGAGGGGGATTAGGAAGAGGTTAGGAGATTTGGATGGCTCTCAAACTTCTTCACTGGGTATTATGTGAATGGTGGAATTATTAACAAGGGGAAAATATATAAGAAGTGCAGAAAGGCATTTTTGTTTTAATGAGGGAATGGTAGATTGAAGCACGGTTTTGGTCATGCTGGGTTTGAAATACCTATAGAATATCTGTACCATGTAGCACACTGGTTGACAGGTTAAAATATGGAGCCAGGTGCCTGAGTGATATCCTAGCTCCATTGTGCTTGCTCTGGGATCTTAGACAAGTTATTTTACATTTTTGTTAAGTTATGATAACAGTAGTGCTTGCCTCCTAGAGTTGCTGTGAGGTTTATAGGAGTTCTTAAGTACAAAATTCTTAGAACTGTGTCTGGTACATGCTAAGTTCATATAATCATTTACTATTATTATTATTACTGGTAATAGTAGAGTAAGCAATTGGCTATATAAATTTAGACCAATTGTATATATAAATCTTGAAATATGGGTTTGAGATGAATATTTTGGAGCTATAGTAGAATCTGTAGCTATGAGTGCTAGACTTTTAAAAAAAGTGGTTGCAAATATTTTGAGAGGTGGAGTTTATGTCCAATCTTCTTGAACTTGTGTGGACGTGTGACTCCTATGTTACCAATAAAATATGGTGGAAGTGACATTGTGTGACCTCTGAAGGTAGGGCAGAAAAGGTGTTATAACTGCTACCTTGTGATTGTAACACTTGTGTCTAGAGCCTTTAGCTGTCATGTAACAGCCCTGAGGTGCCATGCTGTGAGGAAGCCCAAGCTGTGCGCAGAGGTCATATGTCCCCAGAACAGGCACCAGGCATGTGAATAAAGAGTTCTCTTCCAGTCAGTCGGAGGCTGCGGCTGCAGAGGAACCAGCCCAGGAGAAGCTGCAAACATCCCGTCTGAGCGCGTCACCGCGGTTGTGGCCTGCACCCTCCCTCGGCGGGCCGAGGTGGTCTCCAAAAATGCTTTGGGATCATCTTTCATTGCTGCAAGGAACCTCCATCCACCAATACTCGTCTTCAGAAGACTGGCACTGCCGAGATGTCCTCTATGCTTGAAGAGCGCATTCTTGGAGCTGATACCTCTGTTGACCTTGAAGAGACTGGGCGCGTCTTAAGTATTGGTGACGGTATTGCCCGCATACATGGGCTGAGGAATGTTCAAGCAGAAGAAATGGTAGAGTTTTCTTCAGGCTTGAAGGGTATGTCTCTGAACTTGGAACCTGACAATGTTGGTGTTGTCGTGTTTGGAAATGATAAACTAATTAAGGAAGGAGATATTGTGAAGCGAACGGGAGCCATTGTGGACGTTCCAGTTGGTGAGGAGCTGTTGGGTCGTGTAGTAGATGCCCTTGGAAATGCCATTGATGGAAAGGGTCCAATTGGTTCCAAGACCCGTAGGCGAGTTGGCCTGAAAGCCCCTGGGATCATTCCTCGAATCTCTGTACGGGAACCGATGCAGACTGGCATCAAGGCTGTGGATAGCTTGGTGCCGATTGGTCGTGGTCAGCGTGAGCTAATTATTGGTGACCGACAGACTGGCAAAACATCAATTGCTATTGACACAACCATTAACCAGAAACGTTTCTATGATGGAACTGATGAAAAGAAGAAGCTGTACTGTATCTGTTG